AGATATTTCCAGCTCTGGCGTTTCTCTCCTGACCAATCAGCTCAGTGCTCTCTCTGCTCTGTTACATCAGCGAAGCTGCAGCTCGTGGTCGCGGCGGCTTAGTTACCGCAGTGCGACCCAGTTTCAGAGAAACGGCAGCCATCGCTTATCGAAACTTCATGAGAATTTTTTTTATTGGCAAAGAAAACATTGTTTAAAAAACTGTTTCCAGATGTGACACATCAGCAGCAGAGAGGGTCTATTTTCTCTGGTGAAGTCACAACGCTGCATCGCCACCGGTAATATCTCCCAGAAGACTCACCGACAACTACAGCTGTCCTCAAACATCACTGTGGTGTCTGTGTGTGGTCGACAGGGAGGATTTGTGCTTCAGCAGGAATCTACGCCGTACCTGCGTGAATCCGTCTGCACCTCACGATGCATGTGCAGGTACGCGTTGGGTCGACGCAGCCCGCAGACTCTGTGATGCACCATCCACACTCCAGCTACTTTTTCAACCACAGATTTCAAATGTATCCGTGAGAGGTCAACAATCATGGCCTCAACATTAGAAATACTCATCACAGCATCAGTATCAGGACGTCAGCTCATTCCCAGAGCGAGATCAGTGTCGGTGTGGACGTGAGGGAAAAACAACAAAGTGGAAAAACCTGAGGGACAAATGTTTGACCACGAAAATAACCAAGTACAAGACGTCCCAGCGGTTCATGTTTTTGTTGCACATTAAACACCAGCACGAGCATAAACGGCAGCCGTGACGTCGGCCACACTCGGCGCCGAAGTGCAGATCAGGCCCAACGAGCGGACGATGGGAGGAGGTCGAGGGTTGCTGTGGTGACCGCTAAAAAGAGCGTTGCGTCAATCTGCCACAAATTCACATCAACTGGCCTCATCGTCGAAGAGCTGCGGTGCAGGCCGCCACATTAGAAGCTTTCAGTGAGCAAACAGCGTGTAGGGTATGAATCACATCCAGACGGCGTGATGCCTCGCATCCACTTACTCCAGCACGTGTCTCCAGACCGGGGAGGGGGGCGCCAGAGAGCCCCGATGGGACCCTCACAGCCACGGAGGGACCACCTACGCAGGAACACCTGCTTACTGTGAGGCGACGGCACAAACGCAGCCAATAACCTCACAGCTAAAACGCTCACATCCATGGTTCTCGTTAATGATGGACAGCAGAGGAAAGCAGATGTTTGGATGTTTGCACCTCTGTGCAGCCTGCAACCCAGGAACCTCTGAACCACATCAAAGATGCCACCTGTGAGCGGACGAGACACGAGCTTGTGCGCTGCGAGCAGCGAAACCACAGGAAGAGAAGCTCCCATCGCTACATTCTCATCCCGAAACCAGAAACATTTTCCTTTTTCACTGTTTTCACACTTTCAGATCTGTGAGCAGACACACTAACACCAACAGTGTTTCTGTGTAACTATAGCTGCTGATCACAGCGTTTAAAGGCCAGACGTGTGACATGTAAGCATGTCGGTGAGGTAGAAACAGCGGGCTTACCTGCAGCACTGTCCTGTCTGCGCGTCTCCACGGAGAATCTGTGAGAAAGCCTTTATGACTTCCTTCTGCACCGTTTATATGGGGAAGGCCAGGCCACACAGAGAGAGGGAGGGCGGTGGAGGAAGCTGGTGGTTGCTGCTGTGCTGACGTCCTGCATGCAGCACCGTTCCTCATTTGCAAGTCAAAAACACACACCTATTTTTACCAGGAAGTTTTCATTTTTCCAGAGAACTTTGAAAGAGCTTTGCTCTGAGTGGGTCTGTTGTGTGCGACACTGTTCCTAGGACAACAACAGCTGCTGGAAACAGACTCAGTCCGACACACAACCCAGAACCAGCAGGTAGAAGCAAGCTAAAGGTTAACCAGCAAGCTTTACGGCTTTGAGTGCAACACAGATCAGAGTCGACTCGTAAATGTCCCGTGACTCACAGTTGGTGTTCGTGTTTTCTTATTTTCAATCAGCAAACTTAATTCTGTTTCTATTCGACTTACACGAGTGTTCAGTGTGAGCTGGGAGCGCCTGTCAGTTACTGAAAGCCGGTTCTGGGTCCAGCACATGTGTCAGAGGAAGCGCGACATGTCGCTGCTTGTTGAAGGTTTCTGGTTTTCAGCAGCAGAGTGAG